AGTGTGTAGTGTGTAGTGTGTAGTGTGTAGGGTGCAGGGTGCAGTGTGTAGTGTGTAGGGTGTAGTGTGTAGGGTGTAGGGTGTAGTGTGTAGTGTGCGTGCTGTAGTGTGTAGGGTGTAGTGTGTAGTGTGTAGTGTGTAGCGTGTAGGGTGTAGGGTGCAGGGTGTAGGGTGTAGTGTGTAGGGTGTAGGGTGTAGTGTGTAGTGTGCGTGCTGTAGTGTGTAGTGTGTAGGGTGTAGGGTGTAGTGTGTAGGGTGTAGGGTGTAGGGTGTAGGGTGCAGGGTGTAGGGTGTAGTGTGTAGGGTGTAGGGTGTAGTGTGTAGTGTGCGTGCTGTAGTGTGTAGTGTGTAGGGTGTAGGGTGTAGTGTGTAGGGTGTAGGGTGTAGGGTGTAGGGTGCAGGGTGTAGGGTGTAGTGTGTAGTGTGTAGTGTGCGTGCTGTAGTGTGTAGGGTGTAGGGTGTAGGGTGTAGGGTGCAGGGTGTAGGGTGTAGTGTGTAGTGTGTAGTGTGCGTGCTGTAGTGTGTAGGGTGTAGGGTGTAGGGTGTAGTGTGTAGTGTGCGTGCTGTAGTGTGTAGGGTGTAGGGTGTAGGGTGTAGTGTGTAGTGTGTAGGGTGTAGGGTGCAGTGTGTAGGGTGTAGTGTGTAGGGTGCAGGGTGCAGTGTGTAGTGTGTAGGGTGCAGGGTGCAGTGTGTAGTGTGTAGGGTGCAGGGTGCAGTGTGTAGTGTGTAGGGTGCAGGGTGCAGTGTGTAGTGTGTAGGGTGCAGGGTGCAGTGTGTAGTGTGTAGGGTGCAGGGTGCGGTTTCTTGAGTCCAGCTGTAACCGGTTACCGGAGACTCTCGTCGTCACACGGCAGCGCTGTATGGTCAAACACTACAACAATTATTCTCCGGAGCGGCTTAATGATTAAGCTACAATCTTCAATGAGTAAGCATATTCCAGTAAGTCAAACAATTCAACATATAAATATTTTAGTTTTGACGCGGATTTAGAGTAACGTTATTATTTTTGTGTAATTTAGTCTTAACCTCGAACTATGAGCTGATTAGCATCAGAGCAAACAGCTCCACGGTTTATATATACACTAATATATCTATATTTTATCGTAACCATCTACAAAAATAATACAAAATTATGTTATTATAAACTTTACAGCTATAATGTCATTGATATAATCGCTTGGCGACGGTGTTAGCTTAAGTTAGCCTGACAGCTAACGTTACACCAGTGAGAACTGGGCACGACATTTCGCTTTTTATTTCACTTTAATCGATTACATTTAGAAGGGAGTTAAAGTATGTAGCTTGCAAAGATGGTGTGTGTTGCGTTTTTGTTGAAAATTAATGTAATCTGCGAGCTTTTGGCCCCGTTGCTAATATTAGCCAAGTGGAAGTCTTTGTGTCAGTCCTGAGCAATTAGCATATACTGATGTTTTGGGGCATTAAGATCTGTTTTTGCTCAGTATAAATATTTTATCGGTTGTAGAATTTCACCGCATTCAAACCGTGACCTGCTTCTCGGATAAAGAATTTGCGTTTGGACATTTTAATGGCTTCATTTGAGGCCTTTACACTTGATTTCCATGAAGTCACACTTAAAAATAATTCATCCAACCATCTGTGCCTTTCATTTGAGTTACATGTAGATTTAAGGTTACTACTACATGAGGTTTGTTGCGTCTTTTTGAAGCGATTTGCTAAAGAGGCTTAGTGTGTGGTAATCCCATAGAGCTGCTGGGACACATGTGTGTCCTCAACTCATTTTCAGGGGAAGCTGCTAACAGTGTTGCCAAACCTCTCCCTCAGAAATCTCTAGAACCACCCTCAAATGTCTGAATTTTTCACAAAAAGTCTCCAAATATGAAAACAAAGTAAATACAGGTAAATTTGGTAAAGGTAAAGGAAAGTAAATATATATATATATATACTTTACAAATGATGACAGTATAAAAAATATAACACAATTCTGAAGTGAAATTAGGAAATGCTTGTGATCTGCAAGCACATCAAACATGATGGAAAGACACAAAAGACACATAATGTTGGGAATTTGTTTTATGTGTCACCAAAGTGCATCCCTGTCCTGCTCAAATACAACAGATAAGAGATATTATGATTCTCCAAAAACAAAAACTTTATTCATACAAACTTATTTCAGTCAACACACTCTTATTACTACAAAGTAAGTGCAAAATACTGCATCCCAGCACACATGAACGATGATCTGGTTGACATGACTGTGCATGAATTGTGGTATAACTTTTGTGTCAGTGGTTAAAACAAGATGTTCATTTTTTTCTCCACCATCTTGATTGATGCTTATAATGAAATTGTGGTGTGCGTCATGGCAGGCGTGGCGTACTGGTGTGTTCTGCGCAGACTCATTGGCATGATTGAGAGCAAACGTGAGAGGTCACGGGCCTACGGGCAGGGTGTGGCCAAGTAAAAAATAAAAAATCTCCAAAAAATCACTAGTTTTATTTAGATATAGCTCAAATAGCTCCTTGTCGCAAAAAAAAAACAAAAAAACTTAGCTAAATTTGGCGACGAAATCCTCAAATTGGCAACACTGGTTGCTAAAGGAAGGTTGATTTGTTGCTAAAAGTTGCTACATGATGTTGTGACGACATTACGTAATCACATGCAAAATTGTGTCGAATCTCAGCAAAAACATATATATTTTATATATGTTAATTTAGATTTGTTCGTAGCAATATAAATGCATAATATAATATTAAAATATAAATAACTATTTTTAAATTCATTGAATTATCGAAAACGTACACATTTTTGAACGATTACAATTTAAGTTTTATACTTTAAAGCAGTTTATTAGTAGTTAGTTAGTATGCTGCAAGTAAAAACATAATGCACAATCTACTGTGTTAATATGAAGGAATTTTCTGGATTGATTTTTCCACAGGTTTTTGTGCCTGCATTTTTAATTACGCATTGTATTTTGTGTTTTCGGGTTACAACGGATAACGGATAATGTCCTGGAAAGTTACTAGCACCTTTTCCATTTTTCTGCATATTTTTCTTACAGTGTACTAACTCATCAACAATCACAGGTACAAGCTACTAACAAAGTGTCTCATAAATGAAAAATAACAGTATTCAATTATTATTATTGCTATTAAATTAAACAATTGCAAATAGCAGCTAACTTAATTCCTGTAAGGTGTGTACTGCTAGGCATCTTTGGTTTCCTCTTTTTGTGTAATTTAAATGGCAAATTGTGCCTTTTTATCGTTTGAGTCACTTGTCAAAAGTTGCTAAAAGCTGCCAAATAAATAAAAAAAAAATAGCTAAATTTGTTGCTAGGTGCTTTTGGAAGAAAAAGTTGCTAGGGTAGTCTGAAAAGTTGCTAAATTTAGCAACAAAATTGCTAAGTTGGCAACACTGCACGGGACTGACATGAAGAGTTCAGCCTTCCCAGAAAGCACAGCACATCCGAAGCGGTCACACGCCTGCTCCAGTGTTTCCTCTGAAACAATGAGCCACATACCGTGCGCGTGCTGACTCACCTCCGAGTCATTTGTGTGAGGGAGGAGATATGGTTGATTTTCATGCTGTTATGAACTCTGTGATTCAGGTCTTTAGCCTATAGCAGTGGTCTCAAATTCAATTCCTGGAGGGCCACAGCTCTGCAGAGTTTAGCTCCAACCAGCTCGAAATCACACCTGCTTAGAAGTTTCTAGTGATCCTGAAGACCTTGATTAGCTGGATCGGGTGTGTTTGATTAGGGTTGGAGCTAAACTGTGCAGAGCTGTGGCCCTCCAGGAATTGAGTTTGAGACCAGTGGCCTATAGGGATGTATGTGGGGATGGGCAGATCGATCCTGAAGTATCGATACTTTCGATACTGATGTTGAATCGAAAAGATCGATCCTCACATATAAATATCGATTCTAATGTGCATTTTAAGCATTAATTTTATTTATTTAGCAAGGAATTTGGTGCATAGAATAAGCTTCTATGTGGAAAAATAGACTATGTTAGCGAATACTTGTGTAGGATTGAACACTTTCTCCTGCTCATCGGAACATATGCAAATGCTGAAAGACAGAACCAATCAATCACAGACAGAGTTTGCTGCTGACACTTCGCTCACAGTGCTTGGTCAAATAGGGCTGCGTTTCCCAAAAGCATCAGAACATAAGTAGCTCTTAAAGGTGACAAGTCATCAAAATCTGACTTTTCCAGGGTTTAAGTGCTATAATCAGGTCCCCGGTGCATCTACCAACCAAGGAAACGTGAAAAAGATTAACCCAGTAATTTTGTTTTGGGAAGCTTTTTTCTGCAAGTGTCTGAGAAAACTAGCGCGTCTGATTTCTCTCACTTGGTGACGTGGCAAAGGGATCTCATTATAATTTTACCGCCCCTTAATCTTAAAGTTTCCACCCACGGCGCCGTTATTGTGTTTTCGCAAGCGACAACGGTGTACCGGTTCTAATGCCATGGCAAAAGTTTGAGCAAAACATGCTAACTGTTCTGTCTTTGACTGCACAGACGAGCACAGAGCACTATTTAAAGTCCCAGTCTCAGAGGAGACAAGAGAGCAGTTGATTTATTGATTTATTTACTGTATATTGCTGCTGCCACACAGATCTAAAATAA